AGTGCACTTCATATAGCTTGACATGGTCAGAATCCAGGGGATTACTGCAGAAGCTGGACACGTGACAGAAGGAGAGGAGCTTTGCCTTCTCTAATTCCCAGATTGGTGGCAGGGGGAGAAAGAAACGTGATTTTGTGCCCACTGCCATATCCTACCCCAGCTAGAAAAAAAATCCAACCTTCACTAAGAATAACAGAGCTTTACTCAGACTCAAAGGTTCATCTTCAGAACATGCATCATGCTCTTCTCCATCAAAGAGGTTCAAGAAGGATGCTTTATACACACCATTGCAGAAAGCATAGGTGGGAGCATGAGACACCCAGCAGTACTCTGCTCCCAGCAACACAGATGTAGTTCAGTCCTGGAAACCATATCATAGCCCGAGGAGAAAGCATCTTGTTTACATATAGATCCAATGAATCAATGAAGAGAACTGCAAAACATGGCCAATGCAAACACTGCTGTATCCTTGGAGTTACTCATTTGCTACAGGAGACTGGGAAGGGAGAAACCCTGGAAACCACAGAAACCACAGCTTACAGTCTGAGGATCAGCTTTGCATAAGAGGCCCAGAGGGCTCTGGTGGACAGTAAAATAAATGTAAGATTTGACAGCAAATAGCAAATACAATCAGCCTCCTGGATTGACACGACAAGAACGCTGCTTGCAGACCTAGGGAAAGGATTATCTGCCTCTTCTCAGCACTCTTCAGACTTCACCACCCTAGTTTTGGTCCCCACAGCACAATGAGAGCATGGGCAAACTGGAGCAAGTGTGATATAGGGCCACCAACACAGTGGGATCTGAAGCACTTGCCCAGTAAGGACAGAAAAAGGATAAGAACTTATTTAGCCTGGAGAAGAGATTGCTTTGGAAGCACTGCCAAGGGGCTCGTCACCTCCCCACTATTTACAAGGAAACCATATAGCAAGGATTGAACCACGTAACAAGAAATAACAGGTGTAAGCTTAAATAAGAGAGATTCAAGCATTTTCTCCACAAGGGCAGTGAGACAGTGCAACTTGCTGTCCAGAGAGATTGTGCATGTTTCATCCCTGGAGGTTTTCTAAACTGGGCCAAACAAACTTTAAGCAATCTTAGCTGACTTCACAGCTGACCACATTCAGCAGGGAGATGACCTCTTGTATTACGTTAGGTTACTTATTATTTGGCTCACTGCAGAATTCTCTTTTCCTATTTTCCAAATCTTCTCTTAGTGACCTGTATTACAGTCACTGTGAAAGGGAAAAACAGAGAGACAACGTGCATGCATACTTCTCAATGACGACAGTCATTCTGGCTAACAGATTGGCACAGCAGGTATATGTCAAAGCAATATAAAGGAGAAGAACTACAGAACACTAAAGGTAATCACTGAATTTATCAGAGCATTACATCATCTTTTTTTTTCTCTCCTTCTTTTTCCAGTCACAAACACAGCAATAGCATTGGCTTCATTACCCAGCTCTGAAATTAAATGGGGCAAGAGAGAGACTTCAATATAAAGGGAAAAGTAAACATTTCTTTCTACCTTGAAAGCCTACGTGACCCAGTTCACAGCCAACACCCAGATATGAGAGCATGAAAGAAGATGAAGAAGGAGAAATGAAGGTAGAAAGCAGATAAGGTGTTTGTGGTAGCTTGTCTCTTGAGAACTGATCTGTTGCTTTGTCTAGTTCCCATGAAAGAACATGAGGCATGTTTGCCCTGCTGCATGGGGCAAGGAATATTAATATCTCTTTTATACTTGAATGAGGAGTCAGCATTGTCTCCTGCTATCTACATAAAAAGCCCAAACCAGCATATTCTGTTTGTGTTTTAGCATAGCAAAACAGAGGAGATCTTATGCTTGAGTGACTGCAACACAAATCCAGGACAAGCTCCACTTTCTAACAAAAATTGCAACATATTCCATGTTGCACATCACTGGCCAATAAAGGGGCAAAAAGCTTGTGAGAATTTACTCAAACCCTGATTATGTTGCACAGGCTCCTCCTTTCCTTTCCAGCAGAAACAAACTCATTAATGTGGCCAGACATCTCACACGCATGTATTTTTGCTTGAAACAAAATTGGGATCATTTTTGGTGTACTGTGTTTTATAAACAAATAGTGCCATTATTCACTTCAGGGTGAACATCAATAAATTTGTTGCTGAGCTACAGCTGTAACATGAGGGACATACAGGGTCAGGGTGAATGCACAGTAATGATGTGCCACCCAAAAAGCAGTTGGAAGTGATTTACACCTTGAGCAAATAGAGTGAAATGGGAGACTGACAAATCTAGGACTATATGCATTAGAACTGCTGCAGGAACTGCCCTCTTAGTGCTGGGGCAGGAAAACCCCAGCACTAGAGGGGTGACTGGGGCCATTTAGACTATCTGCGTGAAGACAACTAACAAGTTCAGGTAAGATACCCAATCCTCCAGAAGCTACAGAAACAGTTCTTTATGTTTTTAATATATTATACATAATATATTAAAAAACTGTATATTTTTATACATGTTTCCATACACTCAGAAAATACAGTTCAGTCCATAATCATGTATTGATATACAGGTCTATGTGTGTGTGCCATTCTATACAAACAAACACAAATTTGGGTCAAATTAGTTCCGTACTTAAACTAGTATGTAACATACTAGTTTTCACAGAATCACAGAATCACAGAATTGTAGGGGTTGGAAGGGACCTCCAGAGATCATCGAGTCCAACCCCTCTGCTAAAGCAGGTTCCCACATTTAGTACACAGTGCCATGTCGTGCTTCCAGGACTAGGTAATACTTCTGCATTTGATATTTCTCTTCCTATTGGATTTGGAGATCTAAAAAAATTTTGAGGAATAACACAGTGTTGCTTGTAAATGATGAACTCTGCCACACCTAAGACAGAATGGGTTTCTAAACTATTTTCAAATTTGTATTTTTGATGTTCTAAATGTAACAAATAAGTACTTTCAAGTTCCTATTTCAATCACAAGGAAATAGATATCTAAAAATGCCTTTTTCCCCTCATTATTTTGCACACATAAAATATTTTGTCAGCTTTATCTTTTAAAAGACTCAGAAATTTGAGATGTGATTGGAGCTGTTCATGAGTTTTCCTGCTTAACTTTTTCTCCTTTTCCTCTAATATGACTAACCCACCATTTCAACCTTTATTCTTTTTTTTTTTTTTTCTTTTCTTTCCTGTGCTTATAAAAGTCCTTGAACACGTGCAAGTGCCAGAGGATACAGTGTCCTGAACGCTAGAGGGCAGATTAGAAACAAACCATCAAGTTTACAGCTCATTCAGTGCCAACACCTGATTTGTACTCTCTCTCTCTGTAATTAATTGAGTGTATTCTAACTTTAAGTATCTACACCAATGGTCATAATTACATAGAATTTTGTTCTCTCTTAAGCATTCTTTGAGAACCAAAGTAGGAAAGTTAATGAAAAGAATCCAGATTTCCAGGCAGGAGGACAGATATTATCCTTCCTACAGCTGATGGAAAACCATTCATGGCAATAACTCTATAGACATAAGGAGCTCTGTTGAAGAACAAACTGGAAGGATCCTTCATACCTTTGTACACATACTGATACTGCAAGCACATCTGAGTTACATCCATCAAAACATCCAGGGCTAAAGTTTGCAGATTAAACATGAATCATAGAATCATTAAGATTGGAAGAGACCATTAAAGCCATCTAGTCCAACCATCAGCTCCTCACCAAGGAGACTCACTTGCTTGGCATCCATTTCACATTACACTTCCTTTCTCCAGCCAGAAACCACAGTCCTACACCCCTTGCAAACACAGATGTGTCCTACGACTTCATGCACTGAGTTTCTTACATTTGAGAGAGAAGATGAGATTTCTATTACCCCTACCTGTTAGCAGTTTTTGATATAGATGCAGAAGTCACATGCATATCAGAAGCTAAGCATATTTATGCACATTGGAAGATTTATCTCCCTACTGCTAGCAGAAGCAGGCATCCCATAATAATCTGAGACAATTCAACTTCATTGCAGGACATCCTGGACAAACACTCATTCTAAAAAGTCAACCAGACCTCACAGAAAGCTCAGAATCACACCTGAGATAAAGCAATCATGCTCTTTTGCACATCCTTAACATGTCTCTTCTCACCAGCAGAAGTCTAGCAGGCTGCTATAATTCAGGATGTCTCAGTGTGCACCTCCTTGTGCAGCACTGCTCTCTCAGCATAAATGCAAATACAGTCACTGCAGTGTCTCACACACACACAACATTTGGTGCTATACAGAATGTACCTCAATGTCTGGGGAAGCTGTTTTCTTCTAAATGCTGAAAAAAATAAACCTGCTATTCTTCAAGCCACGATTTTTTTTCTGGTAAAGCTCAGACCAGGATCTCCCAGAATACATTTTGTGGATTTATGCAGGCAGAGAAAACAAAAATAGCCGGTCACTGCTGGCTGATGGTATAGGCACAGACATACAGCTGCATTAGTGTGGCTCAGAGCCTGAACTAATAAATCTCAAGGGCTCTCTGGACTTAGTAACTTGGGTAAAGCCACATGTATCCATGTTATACAGACTCCAGCTCAGAGCTGGCTGTCATCAGCCAGCGAAAACACAGGCAACAATCTTAGTGCTTGCCTGCTGTTTTAGGCCTACTAGAAAAGCCAAAACTCTTCTCTTTGGCCCTTTAGCCATTGAGAAGAAACATAACATCAGCATGATAAATCTTCAGGCAGGCTGAACAGATCACATCAACTGCATCCACAACAGGTGCCATTTCCCCCTTGATAAAACATTAGTGGCACCTGCAGTCCTTCAGAAATGATTCAGAGGAGCCTTATAAGAACCAGATAATATGGTCATCTCTGTGGTGTGGTAAGCCTTGGTGGGAAAAATCCCTATTGTGGGCCTGGAGGCCTCCTTGCTCTGTACCTGCTTTGCTCATGTTGAAATCTGTTTTCCTCATCCAACACACAGCACCTCGTCTTTACCCATCATGCAAGAAAGATATTGAGGCCCTGGAACGTGTTCAAAGGAGGGCAACAAAGCTGGTGAGGGGTCTGGAACACAGGCCGTATGAGGAGAGGCTGAAGGAGCTGGGGTTGTTCAGCCTGGAGAAGAGGAGGCTCAGGGGAGACCTCATTGCTCTCTATAACTTCCTGAAGGGAGGTTGTAGTGAGCTGGGGGTCGGCCTCTTCTCTCGTGTCATTAGTGATAGGACCAGGGGGAATGGCTTCAAGCTACGGCAGGGGAGATTCAGGCTGGACATGAGGAAGTATTACTTTTCAGAAAGGGTGGTCAGGCACTGGAACGGACTGCCCAGGGAGGTGGTGGAGTCACCGACCCTGGGGGTGTTCAAGGAAAGACTGGATGTTGTGTTGAGGGACATGGTTTAGTAGGAGCTATTGGGAATAGGTGAACGGTTGGACTGGGTGATCTTTTAGGTCTTTTCCAACCTTGGTGATTCTATGATTCTATGATTCTATGATCTCCACAGAGCTTCCTTTGTGTAGATGTAAAAACTCAGAGCCAAGTGCTTCACCAAGGGCAAACCTTTCCCTCCAAATTGGAAAGATATGGATTTGATGGGTGGACTGTGATGGATTAGGTACTGACTGCAAGACTGTATGGAGTACGTGTACGGAGAATAGTGGTCAATGTCTCAATGTCTGGATGGCAATCGGAGATGAGTGGTGTCCCTCAGGGTTCAGTACTGACACCAATACTCTTTAATATCTTCATCAGTGACATTATCAGTGGAATTGAGGGCACCCTCAGCAAGTTTACAGATTACATCAAGATGTGTGGAGCAGTCGACATGCCTGATGGAAGGGATGCCATCCAGAGAGACCTAGACAGGCTTGAACAGTGGGCCCAGGTGAACATCGTGAGGTTCAACAAAACCAAGTGAAAGATCTTGTACCTCAGTCAAGACAGCATCCACTATTAGTACAAGCTGGGGGACAGTCCTGCCAAAAAGGAACTGGGGTACTGGTGGATGGGAAGCTTGACATGAACCAGCAATGTGCCCTTGCAACTTAAAGGCAACCATATCCTGGGCAGCATTAAAAGAAGCATGGCCAGCATGTCAAGGGAGGTGAACCATCCCCTCTGCTCTGTGCTGGTGAGGCCTCACCTGAAGTACTTTGTCCAGATGTGGAGTCCTCAATACAGGAGAGACATGGAACCTGTTGGAGGGTGTCCAGAGGAGGGCTACAGAAATGTTCCAAGGGATGAAACACCTCTCCTATGAGGACAGGCTGAAAGAGCTGGGGATGTTCAGCCTGGAGAAAAGGTGACCTGATAGCAACCTTTCAGTGTCTAAAGGGGAGCTAGAGGAAAGAAGGGGACAGACTCTTTAGCAGGGTCTGTTGTAATATGACAAGGGGAAATGGTTTCAAACTTAAAGAATGGAGAGTTAGATTGGATATAAGGAAGAAGTTTTTTACAATAAAGATGGTGAGGCAATGATACAGGTTGCCCAGAGATGTGGTGGATGCCACATCCCTGGAGACCTTCAAAGCAAGGCTACATGGGCTCTGAGCAACCTGACCCAGCTGTAAGCATCCTTGTTCATTGCAGTGTTGAATTAGGTGGGTTTTAAGGGTCCCTTCCAGCTCAAACTATTCTATGCTTTTCAAAAGAAATGAAATTAAACAGAATCAGGTGCAAAAAATGTCAGCTGAGATCACTGAGGGACAAGAATTCACAAAAATCTTGATAGAAGTACAAAGGACAAGCAAGAATACAGCTTCTTAAGCTTGTAAAAGTCAAGATAGTCAAAGAGTTAGCTAACTTAAAGCATGATACTAGTACATGATCAATTGGATGTAAAATATTCAGAAATACATTTAGGTTGGAAATTACAAGATGATTTCCAGCAATAGAAGAACAGTGTTTTTTTCCCAGGCAAGATTTATATGAATTGTCATGGGTTGAAGAGAGGAAAAAAATTGCTTCTCTTAATTCCATTATACATTGTCATCTGATCTCAGAAAAGGTTGTTTGATTGAATTCTGCTGCTGCAGTAAAATAGGAAAGAGCTAACAGCCATCTCTCTTGTTGAGGAATCATATCATAGCAGCTCTGGGTTTTGCTGTGCTGGTCAAATGGTTAGTATTATTTTTTATAGCCACCAAAGGTTGTGCATCCCATAGTGATGTTGAAACTGACATTATCAAACTCAAGAGCAATTTTTGACTCCAGCCAAAAAAATAAATTTTCAGGTGTCACCAACAGACAGTTTTGGCACCTAATTCACATTAATTTGAATGGGGTTGAAACAACAAGAAAACTTGAAAAAAAGGGCCCCAGTTTTTTTTGTCATACTTCAATCCCTACTCAGTGTATAACAGGAAAACTGTGCTGCTGTTCTCTGACATTTCTCTAGATTTATACAGTTGTGAACTGCATGGTTCATTGAGGATACATTACTCTTAGTATGTACTTGCAAAACAGATCAGCCTTGTGTGGACTTCTGCTCTTGTGAGATAAATAACATTAGGATCTGAGAATACATAAGTAATTAATAGTAAACAATCCTAGCAAATATGAATCCTCCACCCTTATTTGTTAAAGACAGCTGTTCAAAAATGTCTCCAAATCTCAGTAAAAAATAATATGGAGGGAAAAAAAAGAAACAGCACATTAATTTGTCCTTGTTTTGTAATACTCAAGCAGATTTTGCCCATCTATTAATTTTGCATGCATTACACACTCAGGCTAGGTACTAACTGCACATTAGTACTTATCTAGGAGAAAGGAGGTCAGTGCTAGAAGTGTCCTGGATGGTAAACTGCTTGACTTTCAATTTAATCAAATAATGAAAGAATTAAAAGAAATAATGAACCTACAATGAAGCAAGGAAATGTTATGTAATCAGGTCCATTTAGATAAATGCCTCTTAAATTCCTGCTTATTTAACGTACTAAGCTTCTCCTACTGAATAATATATAATCTATCGAACATTTTAATACAGTGCTGAATGTTACATGTTAAACACTAAGCATATAGCAAGGGAAACAATTGTGCAGGCATACAGATTTGGGCTTCTAGCTTAGTTGTTCAGAGGGAAAAAGGGGGGCATGGTCCTGAGGCAGGGAACCCCAGTGGAAAACAAGAGGGAAACAAGAAAAAGGCAGGGGATCATGACTGGCTTTTTCTACAGATTTAGTGAATCTACGTTGATGTATATCATAAAATTAAGACAAACATAAAAATCATCTTTTCCACTCCGCAGAATATTTTTCATGGAACAGTCGCTTTGGCAGCATAAGGAGTTGTAGAAGACTGATAAATCGCATCAGTCACACTGATTGCATAATGTTAGGATGTATTGCAGTATTGCTCATTCCTTTGATTATTTATTTAACCTTTTCAATAGAAAAAAATGGTCTTTTTTGCAGACTATTATCCTTTTGAAGGCAGAACTTTAGCAAGTTGAAAGGATTATGATAAGACAATCTACATAGAATTGATCCAATCATTTTGTCACAATATTTTTATTTCATTAATGATCACCTCCAGTTACCCCAAAAGTAAGCAGGCATTCAGAAGGTATTCAAGAACACCGTACACTACCAGCGTTTGACAGGATAAGAGGAAAAGGTGACAGGACAAGGGCAAATGGTTTCAAACTTAAAGAATGGAGAGTGAGATTGGATATAAGGAAGAAGCTTTTTACAGTAACGTGGTGAGGCACTGGCACAGACTGCCAAGAGACGTGGTGGATGCTCCAACCCTGAAAACTCTGAAGGTCAATCTGGACTGGATGCGGCTCTGAGCAACCTGTCTAGCTGTAGGTGTCCCTGATTGTTGCAGAGGTGTTGGACTAGGTGACATTTAAGGGTTCCTTCCAATTCGAAAGCTTCTATGATTCTCTCATAGTTTGTTAATTATAGAAAAAAGTCAAAGAAATTGGGTGGCATATGTGGTACAATAAACCAAGGAAATTTTTCTGAAATGCTTCAATTAAAAATGTATATGGTTGAATATCAAACTCATAGTACACTCCTCCAGTTACACATTTTGAAACTTTCCATAGTCTCTACTGTTCCAAATAACTTCTGGTCTTAACTTTCTCAAGCTAGAATTGCAGTACTTGCTCAGTGAAGTGACCTGCAGTTGTGTTTGTTTGTGCTGTGATGCACCATAGCTGTGATTTTTACTGAATTATTAAGAAAGGTTTAGATGTTTGCTGTGAGATTTAGGTGTTAAAGGCTGAAATAGCACTGTTACCATTCCCTTTATGAGTCTGTTAAAAAAGGGAATATGCACCTTGCCATTGAGAAAAGACATGTTGAGGAAATTTTCTTCTCTGTTATTTATAATGAAGTTTAAACTGAAAAATACACTACCTAAGAAATGCATTGTCCATCCAGAAACAGAACATAATGCATCTTGTGTTTTCCTTCTTTATGCCTTCCTAGAAAAAAGGTTATCTGTGTACTTGGACATTGTTCAGCCTATAACTGTTAGTATTAAGTGTTGTGTGAAGGAGGAAAAAAATAAACCAAAAATCAAACCAAAACAAAAAAGCCAAAGCCTAATCTCTCTGAAAATACATGCATCAACCAAGCTTAGGTCTGTTCTTTTACTGTCCCACAGAATGCAGACAATACCAAACATAAGGGGCCAGTTAGGTTAATTGGAAATCTGAGCTCTCAGAGTGATCATTGATATTTTCATAAAGACAACACACATAGAAGTAAAGGTGGGTCAGCAGGATTAATGACAGTAAATTAGATACACACACACAAAATTGCATTAGGTTGTCAGGACATGAGGTTTGTTGGTTTTTTTGTTTTGTTTTTTGTTTTTTTTTTTTTCCCAACTGAAAGAGACATAGATATCTGCAGGTCATTTGAATTTTTTTCCTTGATGCAGACAAATGCTTATGTTACACAAATCTATTCAGAATGTAGTTCCTGAGTTTGCAAACCATTAAAACAACAACAAAGACATCTAGGGATACAGCCAAGAAGTTATGATGGAAAGACCACTACAGCCCTGACAACATTTTTCTAAGTGGAAGAAACTTGAGAGAAGCTTGCATTGTTCTCTAAATGTATTAGGCCTGAATATGTACTGGGAAAAAGCTTTAGAATGCCCACCAGAGGGAAAAAAAAACCCTTCAAATTCATGCTGCCTTCATTTTGTACAGTTTCTTC